CCTGCTCCTGCTCCTACTTCTACTACTGCTACTACTACTACTGCTGCTACTACTACTACTACTACTACTACTACTGCTAGTACGACCACTACCACTACCACTACCCTACGACTACTACAGCTACTACGACGGCTACTGCTCTGCTACTGCAGCAGTAGTAGTGGTCGTAGTCGTGGTGGTGGTGGTGGTGGTGCCAGTGCTGGTGGTAGTGACCGTGGTATAGACCAGTAGCATAGAGTCGCTTGTGCCGCCAGAAGATAACAGGTGGCACTTGTGATGAGGGATGGTCGTGGATGATGATGCTGTTGTTGCTGCTGGTATTGCTGGTGTTGCTGCTGCTGTTGTTGTTGTTGTTGTTGCTGTTGTTGTCGTTTTTGTTTTCTGTTGCTGTTCATCATCGTCACCATCATCATCAATGCAACGGGGTTTTGGAAGAAGCTTGCATGGCGAGGTTTGCGTGAGCATAACACGTATGAGGTGAAGCACAACGAGAGTACTTGGGCTGAAGACAAGGTCCGGAGCTGGTGGTCTCCGTAAAGCCTCCCTGCTTGAACGCGTGGAGAGGCGCTGTATTCATCCTGAAGCACCAATCTACACTGCTCCTGAAAGGCAAGTCAAAGCTATTCTCAAACGGAGCCCTGCCTAGCCCATGTAGCCAAAACTTCACGAGTCGTTTCAAGAGCCAGAAGGTTCATGCACAACTAAAAGAGGGATTCAACCCAGAGAGCAACCGAGCCACTTCGACTCACAAAGCGCGAGCAGCGACTGGGCGGAAATAAAAGTTCCTGGCTTGCTGTCCACCTCCGGGCTGCTACGGGTACAGGTTATGCACCAATATATCTGCTGTGCTACTGCTACTGCTGCTCTTGTTCCCACGCCTACGATGTCTGCCACTGCAACTACTCCTGCTGCTACACTACCACTACCACTACCACTACCACTACCACTACCACTACTACTACTACTACTACGACGACGACGACGACTACTACTACTACTACCGCCGCTACGACCACTACTGCAGCTATGAGCACTATTCAGTACCAGTGTCATCTCGACCGCTGACGGCGATGAGTAGCAAAAGCGCAAACTCTATTGGCCACAGAACAAGTAGCAGTCACACTAATAATAGGGATGCTACAGAATGATCTTGCAAAACTGACCTAGTATGTGTTGACTCACTCAAGCTCTGCCGCCTATGCACAAGCCATCATGCTGTGGGGCACGATTCAATAACTGCATATAAAAGGGAAGGCTCTCCCAAACACGACTCTGTAAAGCCCCAGATGCGGACCCCACATGCTGTATCCTAGGGATGTTGCAACCCTCGGTAGTCCGCCTGCTGTAAGACTCCTTCCGAGCTGTAAGCCACATGGTCCATGAAATCGTTGCGCTGAAGCTTGCCACTGGTATTGTGCATAAGGTCCGCCAGAATTTTTGCGCAACTGCCGCGCTTCTCCAGCCATCGCTTCTCGAAGTTCGAGCCGATGGTTGTCACCACGCCGCTCACCTTGGCTAGAATTGGGTCTGCGTGCTAAGGGTCGACGAAAAAATCGGCAAGCTACGACATAAAGAACAAAACATAGAGGCCCTGACTTTCGAGAACTCCGAAATTGCGGCTGAGTACATCTGCCTCCACTGCCAGGATTCCCATGACAGCAGAGACATTGTCAATGGCATAGGAGGAAGGAACGCCGTTGGCATCAAGCTTGATACTATGGAAGCAGGGCACCTCAGTCGACCGTTGAAACATGAAAGCCAAGAGCTCGGAAACGAGGGTTTCTCAACATTGGAGATCTTGTCCTGAGGATCCTACGATGGAAGGCTTTATGACAAGGGCTCTTCATTCCGAAGCTCCGGTAGTGTCGTGTGTGTCAGGGAGGTTTGTTTAATTGCAGTATGCTTTTCCCACGTGAGAGCCTCTGGGAAGCGAGCCGACGGGCCTTCCGAGCGGTCTCAGCACTTTAGCAGCTTCAACTCTATATCCGAAGCCGTCCACCCCTAAGCTGCAAGGCCGGCACGCAACGCAGGAGCCCGTGCCACCTGACATCCGCGAAGAATGGCTGCGTGCTCAGGAGGTAAGACCCTGTCTGACGCGAGAGGTCCTGTGTGGCAAGCAAGGTACACATGCCGGTAGCATTCAAAACCTAGTCACTACAGTCTGTCGTCTGAGTCACATGACCATAAGGTGTTCTGAGAACAAGCCACTCCAAGTGGAGAACCTCTCCATGACAAGAACCAACCCATTACAGCAGATTCCCCTCTCCTCAATCTTGGAAAACATCTTCCGCAAGTAGATGGTGTTGTAGGGATTCGCGGGGTAAACATGCCTGGGCCGTTCCATGCCCCAGTGCTCGGAATTTCATTGTCGGCTGAAGGATGTACATGCACAAGATCTAGAGGGTTGTCTTCCTTCTTATTTCTGCACGGGAACTACACTCCATGTGCTTTCCTCAAACTTACGTAGGCGGCCAGCTCTCTTCCTTTGACAGCCTTGCCACAATTTGTTGTAGATGGTCTCAATGGCCACTCCGTTGATGAGGAGAGTCAACACAACGATACCAGAGATATGGAAGGCGATCATCTGCTTCGTCTCCTTGGCTCGCTGCCCTCCAAACGGCAACCCTACACTACCAAACTCGTTGATCATTAAGACCCGACCCGCTGAACTTCTAGAACCCAAGCGTGAAGCAGCGGGGTTGAAATTCGGATTCCCTGTAGAGGTAGCTGTTTTGACGGAGGTCCATGATGGCGAGAATCCAGATGTAACACAAGTCAGAACTACCCCACCACATGCTGAGAAAGAAACGTGTGGGGCACTGAAGCTTTGCGAGTTACATCTTCCGGACCTTTCTCTTTCGGGTTTCTGGCTGTGGTTCGGCGGCTTTGTGCTGTGATTCGATGAAACTCTGAACTCTAAAGTATCGAACCTCGGTCTGTAAAGCTGTAAAACTTATAGCCCACAAGCAACTATGGATCTGGGGCTTTTGGGGAAAGCTTTCCGCATGAAGCCCAAAGCCATGAGTCACTCAAAAACACACCGAACGTTGAACCATAGTTTTTTTCAACATCTTCGGCCGCTGGCCGCTCTGAAGTGAAGAGCAAGTCTCGATGTCGATGAACTTGTTGTCCAAGACAATCCTCAGAGTTTCGGGCTTTTGGGTTGCGGTTGAAGCTGGTTCGAAAGTATACGCGTTGACGTGATTGGAGTTTCGGGTTTGAGGTTGTGCAAGCGGGGCGCCAAGATACTTCGACTTTCATCGGGCTTTCAAGCGTGGATGCAATACCTGGAAATCGTGTGATTTCTGGCAGTCCCCAACCCCTATTCCCAATCCCAACTCACTAGCCCTCCCTCCCTCTCTCCATCCCTCCCTTTACCCCAGTGCGCTAGCAGCTTCACTAGCATATGTGAACTGAAAGACCGACCCTGTGAAGGCAACCATTGCCAGAGTCGCCAGAGTCCGCCACCTAGTTGCTGAGCTCCCTGGCCCAGAGAAGGTTACCATTACACATATTCCCCAGAAGGTGAAGAGTTCCCCACTCAGTTGCCAGTGCTATATGTGACAAGTGCTGCTGCTACTGCTACCAAGCTTCAGGCCCATGACTAAGGCGACAGCGCCCCGCAAGCCGCCCACGACCAGGATGATGCCCTCCTTCAGGAGTCTCGTTGCTATGTCGTGATCCACAAAGCCATCGAGGCCAGGGCCCCACCACCAAAAAGAAAGAGTGAGCCGAAGCCGATCTCAACCGTGCTGCCTTTCCACATCCGATGGCCAACCGACTACACAGAACCACGGCCACTGGAATGTTGCAACATGTAGCAGCTGCAGGAGGAACAGCAGTAGAAATGTCGTAATAGCAGCAGGAAGAGGAGGTGCACGAGGAGCTGCAGCTGCAGCAGTACCAGCAGCAGCGGATGGAGGAGCAGGAGAAAGCAGTGTTAGCTGGAAAATAGTCACTGCCGCTGCCTTGAGGCTGAGCCCATAGCCCAACCTGGGTCGAAGGACGTGCTGATGAGCTTATGGTTTTAGGCCATTGAAAACATGTGCATAGACTTCCCTTGTTTGTGGTAGAGCGCAGGGTGAGGTGGGTTAGTCCGTGAGTTTCCACACGTTCTGACCTCGGAAAGGCAGAGTTTCTTATTTAGCAACAGGTTATCAATTGCGTGGGGTGTTGGATCTTGTACGTTTCCAACAACTAGTAGTTTCTATGAGTGCACATCTTGGCACCGTTCGCATCCAAAGCCCGCGGAATTTGGTCTGTCTATTTCTGCGACCGAGCAAACTCATAGCCAGATAGTTCATGGCTCCGTGTCAGATGTTGAGGTATTTACAGTATTGTCGCTTGTGTTCAGCTTTCTACTAAACCACCCCAAAATGATCTTGAGCGCCATATGCGGCACCGAGCTACCGCCGCAATGCCGGCGAGAAGAGGGCAATCATGATGGCGCGGCTGAGGTGAATGACCTCTTGGGTGCTTGTTTAGGGCTCGAAAGTACGCCGGGCTCCTGAATACACCGAGCTTACCACTGACAGAAGTAGTGCGCAGGAAAGCCTAGCTGGGCACTTGGGATTGTTCTCGTTCCGTGGGTTCAAGGGTCGGTGGATGTGAGGAAGTGTTCTCGGACTGGCTCTGAAACGCGGAACCTTTCACGCACCGGCCTTCGGCCCTGTGAGCCAAGCGTCTTTTGTCTCGGAGAGGATCACGATCATGATAGTCATTAGGTCATGGAAGATTCTGTTTGTTACTGATGAAATTAGCGATCCTGTCCAAGCCATCATGACATCGCAGAGTTGATGGCATCTGCCCTTTTTCTATTTACAACGGGGTCGCGGGGAAATCTGAAGCCCTGAGCCCGTTAACCCTAATTCACCGTTGACGGGGTTGAACCTGGCATTTAGGTTCCTGCAGTCCAGCCACGACATAGATGATGGCAAGCTCCGCCCAGGCCATCCCAGATCGAAAATCGTGGCCCGTTTCCTTCTGGATGAACATAAACCGGGCGGTGATGATGCCTCAGGGTCTTTCTGGGTTTCGCGTTTTGGTGGTTACCATGACAGTGCAGAAGCCATGCAGCTTTTGTGCAAGAGAAGCTAGATCTTTGGATGCATCTGTGCTGTCACAGAGAATCGGAGCCACGAAGCGATCCGAAATTCATAACCGATGGTGCTAACTTCTAACCGCCCGCCCAATGCCCCAAGGCTTCAATGCCACTGCTACTACACTTGCCCGAGCTCCAGCACGTGGCAGAAACAATCTGTCTGTATTCTGAAGAACAAGTCCCCTTTCCTTCAGACTGGATATTATGATATTATCATTCCTCTGCTGATTTTGCTGCTGATGCAGACGGCAAAACCGCAAGAACCATGCAGCCTGCGATGAAGAAGATGATCTGGTTGCTGAGGTAAGCAACTTAGTTGCACGCAGGGTCGAGCGGGGCCCGCGTGCGTCGCCGTTGGCTTACCAGACCGGGTGCTTACACGGATACCCCAGGTGCAAGAATTTGGCACGGCAGGAGCCGTATATTAAGTCAGGAACATTTAAGATCTGCTCAAAGCTTACGTAGTAGAGTTTTCTCGGGCTTCTACGGGCCTTCAAATTGGGTTCCTGGGGCTTTAAGTAGCAATACCCTACGAGAGTTGCATTACTTCTAAAAGTACTTCCTAGCTCAACCGATCCTTGAAGTTCGGGCTCCGCACTTGCAGACAAGTGCTTACCAAGTCCACTAATACTTTCAGGAAGGGGCTCCTAGCTTTGAGTGACTGCAACGAACTCGGACTCCATGCTGAGAGGTTCGCCTGTTTGTACATACAAGACGGCATGTAGTTCCCTGATGAGCAAACTCTTGTTTAAAGCCCTTATAACCGGTAGTTTATCGACCAAGGGTCCTTCAGGCGAGTAACCAATCGGACACAGAGCCCTGGGTCCAAAGCCGCCAACCCGAAGCCTGTACTCTAAGCACCGGACCCTGGTTCAGGACCACGTGGTGGGCATGCCGCCCTTCGTGGCCGACTGCCTTGCTGACCTCGAGGTTTAGAGAATAGGGGGTTTTGGCTCAATGCCGTTTTGTTGAGGGTTTGTAGGGTTGGTGGATTTAGGCCCGAGGGCTTGTTTTGGCAGCCAGGTGCAGCTGAGCCGCCGTAAACGTCGACGTGATGCCGAGGGAAACGGTGGCAAGGACACCAGAAGTCTCCAAGCCTCACGAGGCTTTTGCGCTTCGGGTTGGAGTCCCTCCTGTTAATTTAGAGCGGGCTGGGAAGCCGATACTCCAGAAGAAAGTACAGGCTAATTGCTTGTCCTGGCACTGAGGGTATAAAAGCAACACCTTGAGGACTGAACGCCCCAAACTGCCCTATGTGTGCATCTGTGGATTTTTTCGGCGAGCGTGTATGACCTACTTTTACATGCATACTTGTGTATGTATGTATATATATATATGTATAGATACACACACACATCTACACACGCGCGTGTGTGTGTGTGCATATATATATATATGTACAGGTATATGAAGATATACATATATATATGTGTATATACATATACATATACATCGATGCACGCACATGCATTTCTGTTTATGCACGTTTACATACAATATTGGAACTGAGTAGCTGAGCATATACACACACGTATGCATGCACACACACACATACATATCCTTATCCATATACGCCCGTCTGCATGTACATGTACATGTATATATGTACATGTGTTTATGTATGTATGTATGTATGTATGTGTGTGTATGTATGTATGTATGTATGTGTGTATGTATGTATGTATGTATGTATGTATGTATGTATGTATATGTATGCATATGTATGTATATGTATTACATGTATGTATATGTATGTATATGTATGTGTATGTGTATGTGTATGTATATGTATATGTATATGTATGTATGTATGTATATAGGTATATATGTGTATATGTATGCATATATATATATATATGTATACATACGCAATATGTATCTATACAAATGAATATACATATATATATATATATGTGCATATCTACACTCTTACATCCATCCATACATATACTGGGCACATGTGAGGTGCCGAAGCAATGTGCCTGGAGCCTTGAACCTATCAAACCGCGGTCCGAGCCTTCGGCGATGAAGCAAGTGGCGTATACCACAACCTGAGCGCTTTGGATTTACATTTGTGGTTCCACAAACTGGAGTTCCCGGAGGCTTGGGTTTGTGCGTATAGGGTTTAGCCAACAGGCCCAAATGCTTGCAGCAGAGAAGGGGGTTTTCCTTACCGCATTCGGTTTAGGATTGCGAAAGAAAGGAAATTCTACTGGATGAAGCTTCCATTCTTAAGGCGGGGTGTTGTACACCACGATAACTGCCACCGCTCCACCTCAGGGTTGTTTGTGTACGTATAGGTGGTGTAAGATTGGCAGCTACGCAGTCTTCAGCTTCTGGACTGGTCCTGTGCTCAGCTTTCATTTACGGATATATCCCGATCCTTGCAATGTCGGCCTTGATCCCAAACACGGAACCTTTCGCTGTTGGGAGTGCGGTAGAAGGACCTTCAAGCTAGAGCATTCGGAACGCCTGGCACCTTATTGACTTGTACCACTGCAACACCGACAGTAACAACGACAAACTCAGAAACACCAGCAAGAGCACGACAACGGCGACGATCAGGACGACTTCTTCTTTTCTTGCCAGCATCAGGTGTTGGCCGGCGTCGCTGCACCGTGCCAAGCGGCCAGAATGGAGGTTGTCTGCATGAGGACGTGCTGTGAGCGGACCTGACTTTGGAACCCGAAAGGGTTGTTCAAGGCCACGGCTCTGAAATCTTGAGATGTGAGCCTGACATTGTGGTTTCCAAGTCTAAGACCTCCCTTAAAACATGGTTGCAAGGACAACAATCCAATACCTTCGGGCTTGCAGGATGTTCTGTACTTCCTAGGTAATGCACCGTAGGCTGCAAGTTCCTCCAGCAAACCCTGACTTTTGTCACCTGCAGCAAGTTTAATCCCGTACCTGCATCCTAGAGTTGACTGCTGCTCATTGCTCCGAACCTGTATGATTAAAGCGCAATCTTTTTCTTGTACATCCATTCACCTGCCTAACCAAAGTACTACTTTCCTCATTGCCATCGTGGTCCATCATCGTCATCAAACATCATCACCAGGATAAGCGAAGTCAGAAACGAAGTGCACATCAGACCAATACTCATGACAATCACAATGGGAGGAAGAAGATAGTTGGAACTAGACGAGTGGCGGCAAACACAACATCTTGCAGGAGTAGCAGAAGCGGTTTTGTGGACGATTGTGGACGTCACATGTAAGAAGCATCCCGACGTCTTAAACATAAGAAACACGAACAGCCACGCCACGACACTTTTGCAGCCCCACACCCGACATGAGCCCTAAGCCCGAGTGTAATCCTGCAGCCCTTAACCTCTCAACCTAACACCCTGCTGTCTCAAGGAGCAGAGGGGCTGACAGAAGCCACGCATAAAGAATCCACCCTGCTGCGATGCCAATGAGTGTGCCACCGCCTTGTCGTTTCGGCTTTCGGCTTGGCAGAGTTTAGGTTTTGGGATTGCTTTCCCGGATTTCTATTTTGAGAATCCGATTGTTTAGAGTGCTATGCAAGGATCCCGTACCTTCTGAAAGCTCTGTATGGGGATTTACGTACGCGTTCAGAGTCGGCGTTTGAGATCCAGGGTGCAACTAGGCTGATTGCAAAACGAGGCCCTGGTGATCTACTTCAGCGGCTTCAGTATAGAACCGCATAAGGCAAGTTCTGAAGGTCTATCATGCCCGGGATGAAACAGTGCTAGAGAACAAATGCATCAATGCAAGGCGTGTGGCTTATGAACTCTGGAGAGGGAAAAGGGGTTTAGTTCAGGAACAAATCATCTTGTTCAGGATGCTATGACAAACAATCCTGACAACAAACAGACGCAACTACACATACTGCCTGGATGCTCAGGCGTAAACAACGCTCAACAGGCGCGCGCTCAGCTACATCTTGCCCGTGACTACGTGTGCAGCAAAGGGCTCAAATTGCATCACAATTTTGCATTTTGCAGGAGCCCTGATCTGCAACTCACCTATCTCTCAGTTTGCCAGCATGATGCAGAGTATGTGTGCAAGGTATAGTTACGACTGCTGCTATGATGGTCGCTGTAAGCGGTGTTTTTGCCCGTGACGAATTCTGGGATGGGCCGAGCCACAAGCCACTTGGACAAAGTACTGCACCACCTGAGATGCACATGTAGCAGCCTGCTGTGACAAAGAGCCCGAACTGCACGACTTAGTAGACTCAGAACTAGGTCCTACATATCCACAGACCTCCAAAATAGCCGAGGAAGCACTTGCTGCAACCAAGACAATGGACAAAAACTGGCGTGGCAGCAAGGCTAAGGAAGCAGGCTTCGGGGATTTTTTGTCGTTTTGTTTAGCCACCAGGCGCAATGCTTGTTGCTCGCTAATTCGTAGTGCTGGCCTGCACCCACTCTGTACTTTTACACACCTCACTCCCTCTCTCTCTCTCTCTCTCTCTCTCTCTCTCTCTCTCTCTTCTTCTCTCTCACTGTATCTATGCTGTCGAGTTCTCAAACTAACAAGAAGCAGGCCCTCCATTGCAGGACATGGTGCACAAGGAACAGCCGGCGGCGAGGTGGGGCAATACCTCTGTAAGTTTTGCCCGTCACGCAGCGTGTCTTGAAGGCTTGTGACCGGTTCGAGACTCCGTAGAGCCACTATGCTAGATTTTAAAGCTGAACCTCGAAGATTCAAGCTGATGTGAGATTTGAAGCTTTCAGTTCGGAGTTTGTCGCTGAGACGTACAAAATATGCTTGTGACGAGGTATGTAGGCCTTGGATTCAACCCCATCCTACACTTGTATCAGAACTACTAAGTTGCAGTCTCGATGCCTCTCCAGCTACAGTGAGTCATACACCTGAAAGCTCAGTATCAATGCTCGCGAAACAACATCTCGGACAATATGACAATCCACTTTGAACCCGGACACCTCACTCTTCAATTTCCAAATCATCGAATGCTTTCAATCGCCGTTCCCCTGACGCGACACGAATCCCAAAACCAAGCGGACAACACATCCTGAAACCGGGCAGCTTAAATCCAAAACCCGGTCAAAGAGTTGAGTCAAGGTGCTTCTCAGAGGCGGGCGCCAGCGAACCCATGACCCACCTTCTAACATGCTTGCTTCAATTCATTGGTTGATTGTTTGGGTTTGGGCGCCCGAGGGCCATCCGGACTTCTTCGGAAGGCCACCGGCCAGGAGGCTAAGAACAGATTTTTTTCCGATGGCCAGCCTTGGGGCTTTGCGGCTGAGCCATGCGCAGATACCCTAAAAACATGAATTTGCCGGTTCCAGCGGGTTTGGGGAACTGGCTCTTGTGCCAACGGTGTAAGGCACAGCACTGATCATCTTCTCCCCGCTTTTGCGAATAAGGTGCTTAGCTGATAGGCGAATAAACTTGCTGCGAGTGTCTCGGTCTTACAGGGCTGTAGTCTAAACCCCAAGCCCACAGTGTAACACTGATGCCTTGGCTTCTGGATAAAGGTGTGTGTTGTTTGTTGCAACATGCCTTGAAGCCGAGTCTTAACTTTTTCTGGGTAGTTAAAGATCTACGCATCGGTAAGCACAAGTTGATGACGGTCTGGTGCAGCTGGGCTTATATTGCGGCTTTCACTACGCGTGAGCAAGCCAGTCATGCAGAGCTCATCGTACTGCGTTGCGGTCCTTATGAAGGGAGTGCCTTGGAAAGGTGAGTATATTCATAGTCATCTCGCCATAGTGTCTACGATCATAGTCACGGTAATGGTGCAAAACGTCAGTGCGCATGGGGGAGTGATAAATGTAAGTGGCATACTTGCCGGGGACCTCAGGATTCCGTGCTTCGTCGCCGCCAAAACCTCAGAGCCCCAGGCCTGAAAGCTCAATTGGCCAGAACAATACAAGCAGAAGATATACACAGGGGGTTTTTGGGATCTATACTGAATGTGACGACATCCAAACAAGCTTCAGGAAGCCAGAAAGAAGCCCGCACCCTAGACCGCGTCCTGACGCTGAACTGAAACCGAGGGGCTCCATGAAAACATAGGTCACCACCACTGCTGAGCCGTCGTTCACCAAGCTCCTTGCATTTGGATGGGAAGGATGGCCATGGGTGCGGGGAGTAACAGGAACCCG